AAATTCTCACACAACCCTTCACCTAAATCCCTTTGCCTTTAAATCATTCAACTGTGTCAAGCACACAACAAAAGTAGCAACGACAAAAGTAATGTCGAGAAGTTCCCGTTATAACAGGAGTGACTACACCATGGAAGTTTAAAAAAAAAGCAGTTAAACATTTTACAACTTGTTACTCCGCGTACTTCTAAGAAGAATCATAGATTCTTTTTCCCACTAAACTTTTGAAACTGACACTAGAACAACTATTTAGAGCAACACAATTAAATATCACATAAACAGTGATTTATCCCCTACTCACCTGACAAGCTAAACGTCGATTCTGCAACAAAACCTTCATTACAACAAAAATCTTTGCATTTAAACCAAGTTCCTAGATCAAAACTGAAGGGAGGGTCAAAATTAGAATGAGAAGACCGTTGCATAAAAAAGTCCAGCCACATTACAAGCATGGAATACTACTACACTACGATGTAAGGGAAAAGATGTCAGTTCGGAAGTTAACTTGGAATAAAGTTTAAGGCAAATGGTTTAATGGAACGTCACAAGTATTCAAACACATATGAGTAACTGAGGCACATTATTGATGGCCAATACATAGCATATTTCTGACTTGACAATGAAGACAGCTAAAACTACCAGAGTGGACTTAAAGAAATAAAATCGTATCAAAATCCAACAGCCACTTGTAGAGTAAAAACCATTAATTCAAAAATTAACAAGACATTACTAATAACTAACCGAATTTTTTTTATCCCTCTCCTTCCACATTCAGGTTCCAGTGTTCACAACGTCCTTTTCTTAACGACAAAATATTCAGGCAAAAGAAGGTGAAAAACACAAGAGATCACGAAAAAGCACAGGGAAAAAAGTAGAGACCGATTAAACTACTACACTACACTTTGAAAGGAGTTCCATCTGTTACAGGCCAAAAGCAGCTAGTCTAAAAATGTATGCAACAAAAGTAGTTGCTAATAAGTTCAAGCATTACAAGAGTTGAAGCATAATTACACCAATTTAACAGTTCTTTCCTTGATACTGGTCATTTCATTAATCATCGCAGTAAAAGAGTATGAATTAATAGTAGAAAATGACTAAAATCGACAGGTCAAAAATGCTGCTACCGGTAAAAGGCACACCATTGAAAAAGTTTCGCGTATTTCCCTCCCTCAAATCTAACTCTTGTCATTTCGTATACAGTTCAAACAAATGCCGTCTTCCACTAGCGTGACCCAGCTAAACCAAATTGTTTTATACTGAGGTCTTTTAATTGCAGAAAATTAACAAACAGAAATTGAAGTATGAAAAGAGAGATTAACCTTTTTTAAAAGACCTGATAAACAATGCATCTGAGGCCTTATACGCCAACCATATTCAACACAGTCCCACATCATGCGTGCAACATCTACATCATCCCGAGTATCAAGAGGAATATCTTTAAATAGCGGAGCAGAAAGACGAAAAAAAGGAATTCTTTTAGAATTACACCAAGCTCTTGAACGATCCACTGGAGCTCCTTCAGTTGCTGTCGCCTGAAACCACTTCATTCCATAACTGCTGAAATAAATAATCCAAAAAATTCTAAAACTTTAAATATTCCGAGAGGATTTTGGAAAGGCTATAGGTAATATTGAAAATGTCCCTCGAAAGAGAGTTTTAAAATATATAAAAGCCTCTAAAAAAGCGATAGTGTACGTTAGTGATAGTTTAAAAATAGTTGTAACCTGGTCAACCAAAATGACACCCAAATTTTTGATAGCAATTGCAGATGAATATGGATTTAATGAGAACTCGAGATTTGAAGTCTCCATAGCAACTTCAGGTGTAGCTCCAGTCCCAACACTCAAAACACAACCAACTCTCAAATTTTCATTCCTTCCTTTCGTCTGCAAAGTGAAACGTTTAAACCAACAAATTCACACCACGAATCTTGAGCAACAAAAGTGCTTTTCAAAGCTTAACTGCCGATAACTCTAAAGCTCAATCTGGTAGCTAAGCGACTGTCAGCTCACCGTAAAGTGTCTAGTGCTGTTCAAAAAGGACAATTCAGCAAGCAAGTCAAGCGTAGGGTTGTTGGAAATAATGCCTCCATCAATATATTTGTTGTCAACAGGACTAAAGTATGTTGGCGCAGCAGATGTTCTACGTAGAGCCTTCCATAAAAGTGTTTCTAAAAAAAAACTTCACACTTTTATACTACATCTCAAAGGTATTTTTGCCAGTAAATTGACAAGCGGCAAACAATATAAAATTTAAAAAAATGAAGATCAGCCAAAGGCCTGTTTCCTACTTTCAATTTTCGTTTTAGGCCAAGTCCGGAACAGCCCCCTTAAGAACCTCAAAAAAATTCCTTTTGGACTGTTAAAATAGGAATAAGAACTAGACAGCGACAATATTCTGACCTACGAGAAAAAATTTACAAGCGCTTTTTAACAGAACAATAATAAACATTTCGAGACAAAGTAATACATATCATATCGTGAAAGAAGCCTTCGACGACTGGAATACACCTTTATGATTGAAGGCGTGCAGAATTCGGATTCAAAAAAGGCACTTACAACCGACTATCACACCCAATTCTAGTAAAAAGAATCTCAGGCGAAAATCGCTCAAAATATCTGATGTAAAAAATTAAAGGTTTCAAGCTTAAAAAGTTAGAGAAGCATAATAAACAAAAAACAAGACAGTTGAAGTCTTGATTTCTACTCGATTACCAATAACCAGTGAAGAAAAATTATAACACTTGCCGCTGGGTTCGGTGTAACCAAGTTTATTATTTTCCTCATCAGACAAGTTAAGCCTAAAGTTGCGCATCTTTTCAAGTTTTACGGGGAAACAGTCAGCTCTCACGGCAGTAAAGAACATCCTAAAACAAGATCAAGGTAAACCGAGCTTCCCCCTGATAACCTTCAAAACAAAGAAACTAGACTTTCAACACAAACAAAAAATTCAGAAAAACAGTTATTGCAGTGCAAATCAGAGGAAATGTTTACTACAATATAGATGCCAATAATCATTTTCAACAAAAACATATAAAAATGACGCTAGTTCAGTATTCTAATTTATTAATAGCTAACTTCGGCCAAGGAATGTCGGCAAGAGTGGTTTCTTCGCCAGCCAACTGTTGGCTCAAGACTTCGATGAGACTAGAGTTGTAAGGCCGTGCCCACCCTTCAAAAACCATATCTTTCAAACGAAGGTATATATGCTGGCACTCTCTCAAAGTCTTTCCTAAAATTTAGTGAATTAGTCTTTTAAAAAACAAACTGTACTAAAAAAAAGAAAACACAGCAGTAATATCTGCGGCTAACACTCATTCGTTAAATATATTTACCCATTGAGAGGCCAGCAGCAACTAAACCACCAGTCGATGTCCCAGCAATCATATCAAAATAAGGAAAAAACGGTTCCCCCATAACTTTCTCCAATTCCAAAAGCATCTGGAGAAAAAACTGTTTAAATAAAGAGTTAAAATGCAAATGGTATTAAACAAGATATGACTCAAAACTGCTAGAGATATACAGGGAATAAAAAGTGCTTCCATGAAAAAAAAAAGTTGAGGAGAGGAAAATCTGCTGAACAAAAAGAAATGTTCATTTCACCTTTTCTTTGTAAAGAATAGTGTAAAACCACCTGTACTATAACCAATCCTCGAATGCCCCCACCATCGAAAGACATTAAGTTAACAAAATCTGAAGGCTTTTTATCTGCAGCCAAAGCTTCCAGCTTTTGAATAACTTCGTTAAGACAAACCTGAAAAACATTAGATAACGAATTGAATTCGTAGACAAAAAAACTCAGAGTTTAAGACCACATAATTAATAAGAACTCGGTGAAGCCAAAACCAAATATTGAAGAAAAACCGTTACTTCTCGTAAATAGTCATTGACAAAATCTCCTGAATCAATTTTCGTGTTAATTTCGTAATCATTAAGCGAAGCAGTATCAAATGAAGCAGGAGCAAAGCATGACGAAGCGCCTTCAACAGCGTACCAAGACGCGTCTTTCATTTCGTTAATTTTCTGCGTGTTGGCACAACCAGAAACACAACCACTTCTTACAAATTCACAACGTTCTGCCCCACAAATCGAGAGTGTCTTCAAAAGCTCTTCACTAAAAATGCATTCATTTGCTGAATTTAAAACTATGATATACTTGCAAGAAAATAAAACTGAACCTTTGCAGTTTGGCAGCTAGATGCCTAACAGTATCATTTTGCTTGTTTTTGATCTGTACATCAGCACCGAGGCATAACAAAAGTCGAGTCATCATAAGATCTCCATGTGACACCGCCAAATGTAATGGAGTGTTGCCGCTACGATCCACAACATTAATGTCGCAGCCGTAAGACGCTAATGTCATAACTAAGCCTAGAAATTGATTTGTATATTTTGAGGTTTTCTTTCTTCCAGTCAGCATCATGAATATAAAATAAACTACAAGCTATATAAACTTTACAACAACTTTCGAACTATTAGAAATACTGCAAGTGCGAGCAAACCTATGTCACCACGATTAGCGTAAAGGTGTAAAGCAGCTTGCCCCGCATTATTCTTCGCGTTTAAATCAAGCTCATTAGAATACAAGAAAAGCAAGCTTGATAGAGAACTTTTGTATTGCGCGGCATGAAGTACAGTATTGCCAGTAGCAGGATCTCTTTCTGCAAGCAAATTTGGCGACGCTTTTAATAACGTTTTCAAAACCCTAAATAATTTCATTAAACAGATTTAAAAAAGAAATACAAAAAAACTAAATTATCACAAAACTGACTCAATAGATTTCCCTTTGCTTCGCATAAATTCAAAAAGAGGTGATCTGCCGGCAACACGGATATTTATTTCTGCTCCTAGTGAAACAAGGGTAGAGAATATTAAAGGATTGGCATTGCTGATTGCCAGCAGGACAGGGGTATATCCATTTTGGTTGGTCGAATTCAATAATGCATGCGTTTTTTCAAATCCCCACAGCATCTTTAAAAAATATTAAAACAAGGTGTTGTCAGTGAGTAACGATGGGAAAAAAATTAAAGAGATTCACTATGATAACTTGAAAACTAGAAATTTCGTGATATTGCTTGACTGAACAACAGAGAAACTTTTACGTCTTAAAATGCTCTAAAAACTACATTTCTCATAAAAATGATTTTTAGTATAAAATTACCTCAATCATTTGTACCGACGACATAGAAGCGTAATGCATTGCATTGTTACCATGAATATCAGATGTAGCAGGATCTGCTCCTAGCTCCAAAAGACGCTTAGCTATTTCCAAACGATTCAGTTCAATCGCAAGCATCAATGGGTATTTGCCTTCCGGTTGAGCAACAACTTGAAGCATTCTAAAACAAAAAACAGAAAATTTCAGCAAAATAAATATCATCTGAGCCCATTCATAAATAAACTTACACATCCAGTGAACCGTTGCTTAAAGACTGAATAAGAGATATGCCTTCATCTAAAAACAAATCCAGTCTATTAGATGCAATCGCAACGGGTACGACGGACCATAAAGGATGATCTCTTAAAACCGTAATAAGCTCTCGAACTATTCTTCTGTTATTCTTGCGCATATCTAAATCAAACTCAATAAAAATAAGTAGCATATCTTTTAAAAAAATAAATTTAATTAAAATCTTTCTTGCCGGTAACTAAATCTAGACGAAACAGGAAAACTATAACGCCAAAAGAATAACCTAGAAGCTTAAACAGCGTAACACAGTCGCAACATTTGTTGCAAAGGTCCATTGCAGCGTGAACATCATGAGTACGGAACATACTCATTGTTAAAGTTACTACCAAACCATCTTCAGTGAATGAATTAGAATATAATAAGTGATAAAGCGGGAACGCCGGTCTATTTTTTAATGTCCCTTGAACAACCCGTAAACCAGAGTCCTTGATCGTAAAGACCACTTTATGTGCAGACAATAATTCGTTAGGAAAAAGCACGACCTTAAAAGTCCTTTCGGTTAAAAAGAAAAAAACTATATTAGGTCATAGGCTATTAACGAAAACTTTCAACAACCAAACAAAGACCAAAAACTTGCATGAGTAACAAAAATTCAACAGTTGCAGAAACCAAGGCGAATCTGTTAAAAGCCTACACTTCACCTCATAAGGATCAGATGGGATCCAGTAATCTTCTCCAAAAACTTTTTCTCGAGCTGTAGTCCACAGTTCACCCAATTTTTGCGACACATGAGAAATAAGAAATATACTGAAAGCGAAAAACTATCAATAACAATAAAAACAACAACAAAAGCAAAGATCAAAAAAACTATATCAACTATTTTCCTACTTGAAACAACTCTATTAGAGAAATTTAAACTCAGAAGTTCTTTTTATTATTATAACATACAGAGCAAATAAAAAGACGTATTTGATACCTGCTTTTAGAACCAACTTTCTTAATCGTATCCTCTGGTTCCAAAGCAGACCCGTTTAAATCGGAGAGTTCTGTAGCCTGTCTTATTGCCGATGGATCACAATCAACATCAGCAATATTAGTGGCATTCACAACATCTATCGGCTTGTCCGATGCCGCTGTTCCAGCCACGGCAGCATCAATAGCTGACGTTGACTGTGTTGAATTTGTATCTTCATCATCAGTTGCTGTATCAAAAATCACTGGCCTATTTTCCTGATTGTTTGTCAAAGCCTCTTGATCCATCAACCTTTCGAAAAAAAAAAAAAAAAA